GGGGGGGGGGGGGGGGGGGGGAGGTTGTTCATTTAAAATCATGACGTCGGTCGGAGGGCGCTGGAACGACGGAGGCGTTAGTATTAACGTTAGGTAGCACCGGCCGGGCCACCTACAAGAAGTTCGCGCGGTTCCCTTCTTCCCCCCGCCTACCTCAGCGGCAGCCGGCTGCCTTCCCTTCCTACCGAGTGACATATTGTTTCCATTCTGCTCTCTCGGGCTAAAGCGCAATAAAAAACTGGCATAAATATCGCCCCTCTTTCCCCCCTCGTCTTGCCGCGTGGCCCCGGCGCCGTACACTCGCGGTGCCCTGCGAGCCGGCGACAGTAAGAACGGCGAAACGCCGGATAAAGGACGATATGTATGACCACACGGGAGAAAACACCACCGGCGTATTGCTCGCGAGCGCCGGAGCTCTCTCTGGGAGGACTAATTTGTCTGAGTGGCTCTTCTCGGCGGAGACCGCGCGGTCTCGCCTGCGTTCGCCGCGCGACTTTTAATTTCTCGACTTCTTGGCCGAACGCGCAGAAGTGTTAGTCGCGGTCTTCACTTTTTGAATGCGCGATACGTCGTATTCGATACAGAAGGTGTCCTAAAGCAACGTGTGTCCTTAACGTGACAGAGTTTTTCGAGCGTCCCGAAAGGATAATTCAAGAAAATGTCGAAGCATCGATAGCCTGCGAGATGCAAGCGAGCGAAAAAGCGGGGGCCCTTCGAAAACTGAACACGGAAGAGATTTTGCTGGAACAGCAAATTCTTCGTTAATGTAGTGACAGCGAAAAGATGCGTTAAAAGTATTCGTTTTCGATCACGCCAACTAAATTTTATCGCTGCTGCAACAATATTTTGTTAGTACGGTAAAATTAATTCAAGGAGCTTTCGCGTTAATAATAAGCCTGTTACTTCGACCATCGCACTTAGCAGGTTTCAATTCGTCGTCTGCAGTCAGTGGGAAAACGTGATCGTTTCGCCGAGATGTACGGCACGGAAAATATTCAACGTCGTTGGTGCGTCTTCCGATCACACGTGGGCGATTTGTAATATCACGCAGCAGAGAGTTCGCGAGATTCGTACAATGTATGTTCGTAATATGCATATGTTACTTACAGCGTAACAGGTTCTTCGGGGCTAGAGGGCGAGATGGAGAGCGACATGGTAGCGGTCAGGCATCGTGATGTTCCCGGAGACCTGACTCGATCGTCCACCTGCAACAAAACGAACCATGGTACGATTAATCACGGTCGATCGATTTCTCGCCGGTTTCGCGAGATTGTTCACAGTCGCGCTTTATCGAGATTCCACCGTGCCTGTTTCAACGATTCGCTCGTACAACGTCACGAGAGGCGGAAGAAAACACGGAGGGAAGGTGAGCCCGCCGAATTCTTCGCACGATACTTGCTACCATCGATGGGGAATCGAGCAACAGGTAGAACAGACATGTCCTCGAGGCATCATGCTCGGCAGAGCACACGCGTGATTCGTTGCATAAGTGAGTTATCAGAAGCGTCTTTTTTTCCCTTATCTCCGCGGCGCTCCGACTCAAACAACGGGTGAACAAGATTGCACAGAGGATCACGTCGTAAACTCATTTACTTCGTTATATTTGCCGGAAGTGGATAAAATTATGCGTGCACGTCGAGAATAAATCCTTTTTGCCGAATACAAAATACTCAAAATACTAAAATTCTCGCATCTCTCTGCGTCATAATCAAATTGTGAAATTCTAGACATTATCTTGTAAAAACATAACAATGAGAAAATAGAGCCCCAGAAATTGTTATTTTTCACAAGTTAACTTATTTCACTCGATCGTCTTTCGAATTATGCATAAATTCGTTTGACTAATAATAAGTCTGTTCCTTTTCGCTGAACTGACTGCACTGGTTTCTTTTTTCCTCTTTGTTCCACCAAGTCTTAACTATAAATATATCACTTTTTAAGTTCTATAAGTGTACACCGGTTCAGCAAAAAAGGACAAATTATTCGTCAGAAAACTATTAAACTATAATTGCTTGGTAGCGCGTTGCTTATAAATTTCTTGGATTCAGTGCGGTAAATGAGCAGCTGAATCAAATGCAGACAGAAACCGCCCTCACTTTTTTCCCGTTTTACACGATGACTGAAATGACTGTCGCGATATTCAAGGGATTAATAACGAGCGCGGACCGTTCTACGACGATCGCAGGGAGAAACAAACGTAGCCCCAGGCAAGTGGACCAGACTCGCGGCACAAGCGACATCAATCTGAACGAGCGAGAGCCGCACCCCTAACGATCCAGCGAGTCATATAAATTTTATTGCCATTTCATAAATCCCGACGACCACCGCGAATAACCGTCCTGGTGCTCTCCGAGAGATTATCAGGAACGTATAAAGTTGCGAAACGTCGCGCAGTTACGGCTCGCTCGATCGCCGTTCCGCACGCTTCTGACGCGATTCTCGAGCGCAATTGCCGGGAACTTTCGCAAAAATGTAAAGGTAATTATCGTCCGACCTAAGAGAAAAGTGAACAAGCTGCTCGAACGATCGATATCTCATACTAACTCGCGAACTTTACGTTCTCGGCTCATCGTCTCCAATTATTTGTCCGTATTCATATTTTAATTCATACAAATATAGCTTGCAGATAAAGTGTACGATAGATCGGCTTCTTGGAGAGTATCTCGAGAAGAATAATCGTTTAATTAATGCCAGTTACATCGACGATGGTTTATGACATTTTGCCGCTGATAATAAAAAGAGAAGCCGCCGAATAACGACGATTCCCGAATACTTCGTGTTGCAGCCTGCGATCGTTTCTCCGTTGCTCCGAACGACAGCAGGCGGCTCACCGTCAGAACGGCGTATTGCCTTTAATTAAGGAAAAAAAATGTAATACGGACGAGAAACTAGACGAGGTTACGAGACGGCACCCCCGCGGCTCCGGAGCCGCAGGGGTCGCTCGTTCTCGCGACCACGGAGGGTGGAACAAAGGAAGTTATCGCCGTGGAATTTTTATGCCGACAAGAGAAAGAAATGTAAATCAGCTGCGGCTCACTCTCCGTCATCGTCGACCGGCGGCGGAGGAGGGCAAGAGCGCCGGAGAAAATTTAAAAGCCGTCTCTCGTTGCCCCGCGAGGTACTGAAAAATCCGCGTGACGAAATTAATACGACGCAAGTGATCGCGTGCGTTCGCACACGCGTGCGTACGTTTGCAGCTAGGCGCGACTGACGCAACAAAAGCGAACCGTGCACCAGAACTGACGATCAGTTGTTTGGCCGCGTGACGAGGAGACGAGACGAGAGGTAGAATCGAAATGTAATTAAGAGGGTAAATAATCCGTACCGAACAAACTCCGTAAAATGGATCAAAGAACTCGCGAGAGCGAGAGGGAACGCGAGGATAGCCGATGCGCGGATGGGGACGCCGGCGACGAAAGGTATCGGGGAATTACGAGCGACCGCGCCTCGTCCTGTCGTCGTTCTGTCTAGCCCGAAGGAGTGGAGCAACGAGGAGGGGGCCGGAGACCCTCGATAAATATTTCCGTCAAGTGACCGGGGTTGGAATTCAAAGAGAGTCGAAAGGTGGAATCGAGAGCGGAACGACGCCGGTCTGTCTTCGGGGATGAGGGACGCCGAGAAGGAAGGCCGACGGCGGGCCCGAGGCCGGTATATTTGCGTTACGTTACATAGTTGTGCGTTTAATCAGCCGTATATATACCCGGAAGGAGCTCGTTCGAGGAGGAAAAAGGCAACGAGGAAATGAGGAAGGTACGAATCTCGTCCACGCGTCGAGCGTTGGGGAGAGAAGACGCCAGTCGCGTCTCCCGAAAGGACCAAGGGGAGAGACTGCTTATTGGTAACTCGCTTTCGCGTAATAATTCTGGAAAGTTTTCGCAAATTTCCTCGCAACGCATCAAAACGAAAATAACAGCAACATTTAAAGAGTAAATATAATGAACATATTAAAAATATAATAAAATTCTAAAAAATATATTAAGAATATATAACATTTCATTTGAAATATATATAATTAACTATATAATGACAAGATGGATATTTGGAACGTCAATCAAACGGGAACGTTTATCAAAACCTTTCACAGTAATTATTTCAAGTCAGTAAACTTTATCGTAGTTCTTTTATCTATAAATAAATAGAAGGAAAAGTTTCATATTATTATTTACTTCTTTTACCACTTTTGTACACTAATTAGATGAAAAATGAACAAAATAAAGCACAGGGTCGGATTCGATCCCTTACCATTGAAGGGTTACATGTAATAAAATATTAAACGCTTCAGGAATCGAAATTATTAAATTCATGTATTTTTGATGAAAAATGAACAAAATAAAGCACAGGGTCGGATTCGATCCCTTACCATTGAAGGGTTACATGTAATAAAATACTAAACGCTTCAGGAATCGAAATTATTAAATTCATATATTCTTATTTCTTTTTCTTGCAATTTTAAATAGATTGAAAAATTAAGTCAATAATAAACATCGTTTTCCGCCATCCACAAAATTTTGTTGTCCCTTTTCTATCCTCTCTACGATATTCGTTTCCGCTGAATGAACAGAATTACGCAAATTACTCATGGCACGATATTCGTACGATTTCCAGCGACGAGGGAAAGGAGCGAAGGGCAAAGGAGAAGCGGAGAGCAGGCGCCTGCGGGACGTCGATGGCGTGACAGATTGCCTGCAGTATTTTCCACCACATACATCATCGGCAGCCGCCAGCCAGAACCTTCGGTCTGTCTCGCGCTCTCCGTCTCGTCTTCCTCCCTTAATTGGCTTCGCGCTCACGCTCGCGCTGATCCACCTGCCACGCGGCACGAGGATCTCTCACCTCGTTAATACGCGCACTCGAAAACCTTCTTACCCGATAAGCAATCGCGCCGCAAGACCGAGACGCTAAATTAATATACGACTCGCCGGGCGAGGCGCGGTAATACATTGATAATAGAACGAAGGGTCGGTGACAAACTGCCGACCGCACTTTCATCGTCAGGGATGCGATTAGGGAAAAATTCGTCCTCTTTTAAAACGGGGAGTGAAAATTAAATACCGCGGCGGTCCACCCCTTAGGTCCGGCCACCTAATAATTCATACGTGGAATGTAAAAAGGGCCGAAGCGCGGCCGTTCTCCACGAGCTCGGAGAGAAGCGCCGGAAGTCAGAAGGGGGTAGAAAAATACGGGCTCCTGTTTATCTTGAGATTTGTAGCCGCCTTGTCCCGCCAGTATTTATTGGCTGCTTATTCGGGCGCGGGAATGCCGCAACACTCTGACGGACCGTTAAATTTTATTGTGCCTTTTTCACCGATGCCGGAATAACGCCTCGCCGGATACAGCCGCCTGCTTCGCGATAAGAATAAATCCTGATCGAGTCTGAATCGACATTTCTCTCTCTTTCTCTTTCAAGGGCCATAGAACGGGATGCTCTCGCCTCGTCTCCCTGCATAAGTTTTGAAGCGGAATTCAATCTATAACATCGAATGATACAATAAGGCGATTATCAGCGTAACATTTTTCTCATGTGTACAATGTCGACAGTTGAAGCTTCTTGATTTCACTCGACAAGTTTCGGAAAAATTCTCAGCGACATTCTACGAATGCGTATTATTCACGAGAACATTTGACTTGCAATTTATTTCCCGCGGGAGTAACGTCTGTAACACCATAATGACGAGGCGCTCTCGTCTCGGCGAATTCGTTAGGGACGAGCGCACATATCCCGCCGCGAGTCTGCATCCAGCAACGGTCCAACCATCTCTCTCCTCGTGCGAGGTCATATCCCGGATTAAGGAGACGGCGGTTGCAGGTTCTTCAGGATGATGGTTGCAGACACGGCGGAAGCGCTCTGCTAAACCGGGCGCCTCATTATCTTAACAAATCTAATCTCGCGGTGGGTGTTTATAAATGTCTTGTTTCCCCCCAAAATAACTTCAAGGCCGACGGGAGGAGAGGAAGGCACGTTTCTACAGATTACGTCTACTGTCCCTTCAGTCTGTAACGATTCGTAAGAAGTGACGTTTACGCAAATATAGCTGCTCTGACAAGCATTGTTTTACTATGGTTAACAATTAGGATCATTTAGTTCTACAACACAGTCGCGTGGCTTCCTTTGATTACCGAAGTTTTCCTCATCTAAAATCACATCGGACATTTTCTGTGGCATTTTATTTTTCACTGTTATTTTGGAATTTCGCTGTTAATATAT